GAGTGACCGGGTGGGGGAGGGGGAGCGCTCCGAGTCCGCCGCTGTCCGCGCGCCCTTGGCCACTCTCGGGTCTCGGAGGGCGCAGACTCCGCGGCTGCGAACTTATGCCCCACGAAGGGCAGTAAGTTCTGAGACCAGAGGCACCTTGGGGGATGGGAAGGAGGTTTAAATTTTCTTTGATTTGCCTGTATCTTCATATGCTTATATCCCAAGGCGCTCTACTGATGAAATCCAAAGTAAAAGTGTTGGTGATGACAGTTAGGCTGCGTGACAAATGCCACTCCTGGTGTGTTGTCTCACGGGACGGAGCCGGCACCATGAGTTCTGCCCCACATCAGTGTTGGGAAGGTGCTCTGGGCTTGAATAATGTAACTCTTTCTGGTCCTCGCACCTTCTGCTACCGTGAATGCATGAGCTCTTCTATTTGCAGTTGGGTATCTTTGTGTTCCTTTTTGTACGGGTGTGTTTAATACAGTCAAATATTGATCTAATGTGTTACTGTTATGAGTTGGTGTTGGTGGGACAGATGATTTTTTTTTTTGCATTTCTTTTTATGTGTTCTTTTAAAAGGATTACATTGAACAGGAGAGTTTGTTAAAGTTTGCCTTCCTCTTTGTTCGTTTTCAGTTCCAGATATTTATCTTTAAACAATTGCTTGAAGTAAAATTAGTGCGACATCATAGTACCAACCAGGGCTATCAAAATGATTTCCAACCTAAATGTAAAGCGAACTCCCCTCCCCCACAAATAGCAGCTGTTAAAAGCCTTATTTTCTGCAAATGATGCTTGCCCCCCCCCCCCCCCCCCCTCCCCTCTATTTTGCCACAGATCTGAAATCCTACTTCACAAATGTCAGAGGAGTCCTTGTCTGAGCCTGGCAGACCTCACTGTCGTGTGTTTTCACAAACAGGAGACTGTCCCTTCACTTGTTTCCCACTTGGGCTTTCTGTTTTATGGCCAGGTAGACACGGTGTTGGTTTGGAGGCTTCTTCCTGGGGTAGTTACATGCTCACTTTAAATATGAGGCGTGTGTTTTAGGTGAACCCGGCAGCCCTTTTCTCTTCCAAGAACTGAACGGAGGCGTGTTTGCTTTGTAATAGGTGAGATCAGGAGCGTGCGCCTCTCTAATCAGTGGAGACTTGGGCTCTCTTCTGGGCATGAGGATCGGTGGCTTTGCGGTGGAAGAGCGCAAACTTTGGTGACGTGGTCTGCCTTTGCTTTTTGATGGCCATCCTGAATACTAAGTTGGCAATCATGTAAACTATCCTAAGATTTAAAATTACCCCATGAATCTGTGGGACAGGCAAGCTGTGTGCACACTGTGGGAGATCCAGCCGGTATAGGCAGGTATAGAATGAAAAGTATGTACCCCTCTCCCCCGTGCCCCACTGCCCCCAGTTCTCCCCAGGAAGCAGGGTCACCAGCTCCGGGCTTATCTCTTTACAGATGGAGCCTATGCTAGTATGAACAGTTGGTATGTGTCCTTTTTATGTGTCTTTCTGCTCTGCACCAGCTCCCTGCCTTCCCCGCGGAGTACTAAATCTTGGCCGCCTCCCTGTCAGTACCTAAGAGAGCTGTCTCATTGCCTAACAGCTGCTGAGGACTCCATTAAGGAGAAACCATAATTGATTTAACCTCTTCTTTATTGAGATATGGGTAGGTTGCTTCTGATAGTTTGCTGTGAAATGGTAAAACATGAGTTCTTGAGGTTTTTAAGTGGATTTCAATGATTTCCAAAGGCCCAAAGAAGTAATTTACTTCTTTGCAGTACATTCCGGGAAATAAATGCCCCTTTACTCCGATGCGCACCTTTTGATTTTATATAATTTCCAAGCGGTCCATAAGGACCTTTGGTGTCTTTGTGGCGAAATGATAATGGTCAGTAACTGAAGTCGTATTCCTTGATTAATGCCTGAGCTCTTCAACACAAGGAGTAAAAAGACAGATAGACAGTTTTAAGACTAATCTGGAAGAAAAATTCTTCAGGGTTTAAATATTTTTTATTATGTCGAGGATGAGGATAGTTGGTGTTTTCGAAAACTTGTTTGCCACTGGGCACTAAAATCCCTCCCGTCTGTAGATTAGCACCTATATCTCATATTGGAGTGTTGCTACAATAGGGTCACAGATTGTACAGTTTGGGAGGAGGTTATTAATAAGTCTTAAAGGAGAGGATGCTTTTAGAAAATATTTGGCTCTTTTAAATAAAAAATTAAGGTCTCAGAGTGCTTTCAGAACAGAATCAATTGTGGGAGCAGTGCTAATGCTAGAAATTGAGCCTGATCCACAATAAAATTTGAATATTAGCCAATGGTGAGCTTTATATTTCCATTATGTTCATTTTTGAGAATGTTTTGAAGACCAGTGCAAGCGATAATGATCTTTCTTTGTTTTAACTGATCAAACAAACCTTTTAGCGTTTAAGGTGTAGTCTTTCCCCTTTATTATTTAGTACCTGTCATGGTGGTACAACCCTGCTAATATTGTTTATATTAGCTCGTCTAAATACGTAGAAGGATTCCATTTGTTATACTGTTTCAGGCAATTTTTTAGGGATTAAGAATAAAGCAATGCACAGGACCGATAGGCCCCACTGTGAGTTCATACCTTAGGCGGGGGAGGGGGGAGGAGACAGATAAAAAGCAGAGACATAGGCCCCACTGTGAGTTCACACTGGCGGGGGAGGGGGGAGGAGACAGATAAAAAGCAGAGAGACAATAAAGGAGATACCATCAAATAGTGATAAATACTGGAAAAGTAATAAAATAGGGTTGCTGTGGTAGAGGGGTGGCGGTGGTGGTGGTGGTGGTGCGCTGCTGGTTTAGATTGAATGCCTCTATAAGCCTCTCTGAGATGGAGAGATTTGAGCCAAGAGTTGAAGGACAGGAAGAGGCCTGTGTTTTGTGGGAGATCTGGAGGGAGAGCAGCTCAGGCAGAGGGAATAGCAAGTGCAAAGGCCCTGGGGCCCTGGAGCGGGGCTGAGGCTCAGGTGCCAGAGGACCTGAGGCAGCCCATGTGGCTGGAGGTTACAGTGAAGGGGAAGAGTGGCAGGCAGGTGAGAGCAGGCGCTGGGAACGGTGCCCTGTGTGTTTGCATATGTCAAGGAATGTTCCCAGGACTGGAAGAGAGACCTTGGATGGTGGGGTTTCTCCACCTGCTGGAAGCTGCAGGCCAGTAGGCACACATCTGCTGGCTCCTGGTTGCTTCCCACGTGCCGGGAGCAGCCTCGGTCACAATGGGCTGTGGATATTTGTTGAAATAATGAGTAATCAAAGAGTTTAAAAAGTAATCTTGCCCCTTTGGTCAGAATGTTAGGTTTGGAAGTCTTTTCTTCTGCGTGTTTCGCCTTGGCTCTGGCCCTTGACATTACCAAGTCTGTTACGCTGTTAATACAGCCTCTCCAATGATTGCCCTAAGTCCGTTGCATTTGATTGCTAGTCTCTGAAATTAAAATATGAAGCCTTAAAAACATATCTAATTTCCTAGGACATTCTAGTGGTTTCTAAGCCGTTTGGTCAGAAGTTTCACCTTGATTTCAGTGGATTGGCCGTTTGCTTCAGTGTAGAATTTTCAAAGATGCCCTTTTTTGAACCGCATGTTTTAGTCCTTTGGGGCTGATGACAGACCGATGAGCACATCTGTGTACTTTCTGCAGGTACTTTTTTCCTCGCAGGAAGAATGTGTGCATGGTCTATTTTAGGGAATATCAGGAACTGTGGCATTTCCGCTTCCCACTTCTAATCTGTTTGTCATTCTAAATATATGTCCCTTTATGTTAATTGAAAGCTTGGGAAATGAATGTTGTGCCAAGCAATTGTCATAGACATCTCATAAGAACCTGTCATCTGTCCCTGGACTGGGACTTTTGGGCTCCAGTTCAACATCAGGACCTTCGTGATCTGGCAGAACGAGGGTTGCTAATTTTTTTATTTCCTATTCTACTTGGTTGATCCCAGAACCCCGTGAATTGTTTCCAT